ATTTATGCTACAACTAAGGGGGGGGGGCAAAACTTTATGCTACGTTCGAGTCTACAGGTTAATTATATCCCCCCAAAAAAAAGCAAGCCCTAAATCCTAAACCTTATAACTCCAATCCCTAAACCCTATTACAGCCCTTAAACCCTTATGGATCGAGGAACAGCGGCAGCAAGACTTGGAAACGAGCCGAAAGCAATGCCAGTAGACGACCTGAAGTGGAGTATTCATTCTGCTTCGCAACGCCTGCTATTGTAGGGTTTAGGGTTTAGGGTTTGGGGTTTAGGGTTTAGGGTTTGGGGTTTAGGGAGCGTCTCACCGTCACAGTTTGTCTGTTTGTTCTCCCCTACTTGTGAGACTTGCAGCTGGGGTTATCGGCGGATTTGGTTTAAGCTTCAGGTGGCTAAGCTGCGTCCCAAAACCCGAAGTCGCATCTTCCATGAACTCTGTGTCAAATTCGGCCCCTCGACCGCAAGCCTGCTTTAATTTGACAACAAGCCCTGTAGAACCATCGCATGCACTGTATTTTGAAGCCTAAGCCTGAGCTCGGCCTAAGCCGTCAGTCTTTTTGTGACACCTCCGGAAGCCCCTGATCGCAGATCCCAGTTCGTGAGGAAGCTTTGGAGTACGCCCCGGAAGCCGTCACGACGACCGAACAACAGAAGGAACAAGAGCTCCAGTTCCTTACGATCTTCGGACCTCACCATTATAGGGTAGTTCTGTAAAATAGGGCCCCTTCTTAGGCCCCCAATATAGTACGGCACCCTTATAACAAGGACCCTAAAAGGGACCCCAATTCAGAGAACCACCCATTAGCATGTTTTTGTGCGGAAGGACGATTGCAAATAAGATGATCACGACAATGACGATTACGACGACGATGACAAGGATGACAATGACGAAGATGACAGGAATTAGGCCAGGAGGATCACAACAATTATGACAACAAGCAGCTAAGCGAAACAGTATAGTCCTGTGGATGATGTTGTTTGTGGTAACGCATGCTGATGGGTATACGCAGGATGATGATTAAAGGAGTGCTGCTGCTACTGCTGCTGCTGCTGTTGCAGTTGCTGCTGCTGCTGTTGCTGCTGCTGTTGCGGTAGTAGTGGTCGTGGAGAGATCCCGTCGATAACTGTACCTTTCGGCAAGGATTGGCTGCCAACCTTCGGGGATAACACCCTTCAGACCGCCAACTACCGTCTGAGCAAATTGTACTCTAGAGCTGGGGTTTTCAGAGCTCCGCAAAGTTTGTGTAACAACTGGAACCTAGGATTTCGATGACCCCCTGGGCGGAGATCCTATTTTCGGGCCGTATATAAACTTAACAAGAGAAGCTGTTCCCTTCGAGCCTCCGGGGTTTTCAACTCCGACATCCCTGACACGCCATCTTCCTGAGTCCTGTGGATGTAAGGAGATTTATCTTACAGCCCGGAAGCCTTCAGCTCTAGGCACAAATGACAACCTGGCCAGTTTCCCTCCCACGATCCTTAAAACCCAAATTCCCTGACTCCCATGTCCTTAGCCCGTAAGCCCCTACTTGGAGGTTCATGGGTAGTTATAAGTGGGGTTATAATTATAACCCATATTAGGGGAATTAGAACCCTACTTATAACTACCCATGAACCTCCAAGTAGAGTTCTGAATCCATGAGTTGAATTCCCAAAGCCCAAATCGATGCGACGCAGTTTGACATGCCGCAAACGGGGGCCCCATTATATAGTACCTATACTACCCTTAAAGGGGACCCTATTATAGTACCCTATACTACCCTGAAAGGGGACCCTAGTACAGCACCCTATACTACCCTGCGAGGGGACCCAATTATAGTCTATTATAGTATAATATACTATTCTTAAAGGGGACCCTAGTATTGTACCCTATACTAGCCTGACAGGGGACCCTATTTATAGTATGTTATATTACCCTATACTACCCTTAAAGGGACCCTAGTATATTTAATTTATAGTATGTTATATTACCCTTAGAGGGTCTTCTCGGTCTGAGGAGGGCCTTAGAGGCCACAGAGGCACAGCTCAAGGCCCACAACCGCCACTCAGATGCCTCAGGATCTCAACAGGTTGCTGCAAGGGTCTATGTATAAGGTTGCATTTCAGGACCCTAACTGAGCTCAAGGTTTCGGGTTGAGGGCTTAGGCTGGCGGAGGGAAGGAGGATTTTGGGACACCCAGTCTCTCTAGAGCTGTTTTGGTGCTTTCCAAACCTGAAAGCAAGGAGATCTTCACGGCGTCACATGCCAAGTTACCAGCACCGGGTCTCGGGGCGTTCTTGTAGGGTTGCGGTGCCGAGCTTCAAACTGGAAGCTTAGGACTTCAGGCTTGAGGGCTACAGAGCCGCGCCTGCGGTTGTAAGGAGGTGCTCTATACGTCCAATGTACTTACTCTAATGGTCAGAGACTTGGGCTTAGGCAAGTAAGAGTCTAGGTGTACTAAATTCTTGGGGCGTGCCGGGATGACTTCGGTCTTTCGGCTGTTGGTGGCTTCTGCTGCCTGTACTCTCCGATGTGGTGCCTTTGCACCCTAAACCCTAAACCGTCTTCATTGTTGTCAAGGATCCTTGTCAAGGATCCTACCTACAAAACAGCGGTAAACCAAGACAAGGAGTGACGCTGGAGAGTATAGATAGATAGACTTTCACCGCTACAATACGGAGTATCGGAGATCGGGTGTCGGCTTGTGGGGTTTGAGTATACCGGGACATGGGACGAAGGCAGCTGTAGTCACAATTACATATAGCACCAACCAGCGTGAGGTTTTTGATCACCTTACTTGCTAGATCCTCTGATATTCCAGGCATTGTAGGACTGAGGCCTCAGGCTGTTGGGGGGTCATGTCCCTGAAAAACTGAGGAAGGGTAGCAGCAACGGTGCTCCTGGCGATGTTGGCCTTCGTCATGCTTTTATGCGCGGTGGGCTTCTTCATGGGCCGTGCTTCGGCGGCGCACCGTTCATGTTCATTAAAACCCTGACCCTGAAAGTCCAAATGTGTGCTGATAGATACTGGAAGGATGCCAGCTTTGAGCCCGCCATTTCCTTCATATACCGCCGTTATTTGAGAATGTATGTTCATAGTACTTAACTCTCTCCTAGCGACAACGTCAGGTAGCCACGCCATGTCGCCAACAAGGGAAGGAATACGGTAACACGAAGCCTCGGGGGTGTTTGTCCAAGACTCGCCCGCACCCTCGTATGAACAAATATTGGGCTCTCCGCTTGCCAGAAGCATGCCCGAGGCGTAGCCGTGGCTCAGGGCATTCAGAACGCACTTCGTGGGCCACAACTCACTGTGAAGCAGACGACGTTGTCCTTCAGGTGGCTGTTGGGGTCATTCTGGAGATCAGCAGGTTCCCCAGTAGTACCACTTTGCTCTTTTATTTTGGGGTCCCCTTTATTCAAACCGAACATGAGGAAAAGGTTTTCCTTATTATTAAGGGATTACTGGGGAACCTAGTATAAGAGGTCTTGGATACTTGGAGGACCAGGGGACTTAGCAAGTAACGTTACAAGTACCTCAGTTGGGGCTACAAGCAATGAATTATGGCTCTAGCTAAGTGTACAGCCTGTTCGTCTACAGTCGTGGTTTCTGATATCACGGTCAGCAGACTCGAGTAACCAGAGCAAATGCCAAGTACCCATTACATTAGCAGTCAACAGTCACACCGCAATGCCGATTACCAACTTCGTTGTCATTTTCGTGGTCACCATGATCATAGTAGGACTTAGGCTGTCTCAGTTCTGACCTCTTCCCCCTGCAGGAAAGCCAAAGAGCTTGCCAAGGACTCAGTGGTCGGAGCAGGCCGACGGTACCGTTGAGCGGGCCGTGCAGATAAATCCAGAATCGTCGGGGGAGGGTTTTAGCCGAAGTATTAGTATTATAGTGTTGCTGGTATTCGCACGTGTAACGTCATCACTGCTCTTATTACTGTGGCGGTGGTAGTAGTAGTAGCAATAGTAGTAGTAGTAGTAGTAGTAGTAGTAGTAGCTGTAAGTAGTAGTAGTAGTAGTAGTAGTAGTAGTAGTAGCAGTAGCAGTAGCAGTAGCAGTAGTAGTAGTAGTAGCAGCAGCAGCAGTACCCAGTACGTAGTACGTAGTAGTACGTCGTACGTAGTAGTACGTAGTACGTAGTACGTCTAGTAGTAGTAGTCGTCGTCGTCGTAGTCGTAGTCGTAATCGTTGTCGTAGTCGTCGTAGTAGTCGTGTGGCAAGTGGGACCGGCACTGGCACTGGTGCTGGCACTTGTACTGGTACTAGTAGTCGTAGTCGTAGTAGCATAGTAGTAGTAGTAGTAGTAGTAGTAGTAGTAGGCGCCCCCCCCTACCAACTACATTGCTTAAAACCATCTTAAGAGCACATCCGTTTTATTCGGTATTTACAGCACTTTCGTCATGTAGGATCATCATGTGAAGCCTCAAAGTCGACTTTTCGAGTTTGCAAACTCGAACTTTGGATTTTGG